AAAAATAGTCGGTTCATTAATGATGAATGAAGAAAATATTTTTTCCTTGGAAGAAAATTTTAATACACCATATAAATAATATGTGATGGTTCATTTCGAAATCATTCCATCCTTAGATATTCTCAATTTGCGTTATGTATAATATATGATTGAGAAATATTTCTATGTCTTAGAGTTCTTTTCAATAATATTGAATACTTTATGCTTTTAACCAGGTGTGCAGTATCTGCCGGCAAAATAAAAAATTTTCTCGAATGGCAGAATTTTTGCGAAAAATTTCCCTCAATATACAACTCAATTAAAACATGAGTTTTCTCGTTTTAAATTTTTATTCAAAAAAAAAATCAACTACCTCTATTTAACACATTGCATAAACACATTGAAAACAAAGCTATTTTTCAATATCGTTTAGTTTAAGTTTTCTTGTTACTTGTGCTTTTCGTAAACAATTTAAACTCACTGAACCAGAAGAAACACATTTTGACCAATCGTATATTCCTGATTTGGTAGGACTAGGATTATTCGAATAGAACCGAACTCGAACAACTTTTCAAAAATAAGGTCGAACCGCGTCGAACGAGGTATGTCCAGATTTCCGGAAAAAGAAGTTTCCGAAAATACCAAAATTTCTTCCATAACATTTCAAGACATACATCTGCGTAATCATAGAAGTTTCGCAGAAATTTCCGTAATTACCATTACATTAGAAAGAAATTTCCGAATTTTCACATAACTTTCCAGAAAATTTCTTTTCTTATGTGATGGTAATTTCCGAAATTTCCTGGTAATTTCTTATTTTTGGTTACAGTTGGTTTAGAATAGCATCGTGGTAGTTACGGTATATTCTGAAACTTGCATTTTGTATAGCTGTAATTTCCAAAATATGCAGATTTAAGAAGGAAATTTCCTTTTTTGGAAATCTGCCCACCGCTGAGCCGAACTCGAATCAATTTTTAAAAGTAAATCCAAACTGAACTGAACTCGAACCAATGAAAAACGATTTGATTCAATCACTGATGATCATACATTAGTCATCCTAGTGGTATTGTATGCATACATACAACAACAACTGTATATACCAACAGAGGAAAAACGACTAGTAGTGGCATTCCATTAGGAAAACAGAAAAAAAAGAGGAGAACTCAAACAGTACGTGTTGTTTTATGAGTAGGCATAGAGAGATAGGATGAAAGAAGTGGAAGGATACATGATAAGCGTAAATAAAGGTAAGAGATACTGACACTAAGATTAAGACGCGGATGAATCTTTCAGAAGTTTAATGAAAAGAAAAGAAAAAAGAGAAGTAATGGGTGGAGCAAAAGTTCTGCATTCATTTTGTTTTTGATGTAGCGCTCTAATGAAATCTGATAGAGATTCTATCTTTTTTTTGTAAGAAAGAGTAAAGTGTCTAGTGCGAAAATATATAAATGGATATCATTGAAAATATTTGATAGAGATTACTGAAACTTTAGCACGGAAAACATTGAAAAAGGATTCTGCAACTTGGGTGAGAATATTTTAATCCAAAAATATTTGTTTGAGTTTTTTCTTCATCATTATACAGTGTTTTTCAGAATCGTATACACATATATATATATAGAGTTGTTTATTAAAAAGAAGGTTTTCGTGTAGTATTAGAACAATTGATCTAGCATAGAAGAGAATAAACAGAATAGTATATCATTAAAAAAGTTTATTTTTCGAATTTATGATTTCCAATACGAAAACAAATGTTTGGTTCGAAATCATACAGAAAATCTGTATCCTATTTCAAATAATGTCCTGCTATAGAGAACTCACCAAGCTTTGATTTTCATATGAAATATATAATTTCTGACAATCTCTCTATTCGAATAGAATTTATTTATTTTTTTGACTGTAATCAAGAATGATGAAAAAATGCAGACATTAGATAATATCATTAAAGAGTTCGTTTCAACCATTATAAAAATACAAAGGGCTCCTTTTTTTGTGCTACAAGACTTCACTATCCGTACCTTATAAAACTTGGATTAGAAGAGTAAAAATAAAAGCGATCAGATTAAACCTTTGAGGATCGGTGGCTCATTTTTGGGCCACCTATTTTTTCAGTACAGAAAAAAGTGTTTATTTCACATTAAACCATTAAATATATAAGGTCATTATGGTCATAAACAACTACATTTGTCATCTCGTCTTTTTCTTTTCTTTTTTTCCTTCTCTCATATAACTTTTTTTTAAAATGTCCTTTATTCTTGCTGCTAAGCTACAATGACATCATAAATTCTCTCTTCTCCTTTGATCTTTTGTTTTTCGAGAATATTTTCATTCTATATTGGGTATATGTACTCTCGTTCTCACCGACGAATTTACATTGTTCTTGAATTTGCAAAGTATATCATTTCTCTTTCAAACTTGTACTCTTTATTTCATTTCATACCATTTTACAATTAATTTTGACAATGAAATGCATTTGCCTATGAAAGGAAAAAGAAGAAGTTGTGTTTATTTTAGTACCGAGGAAGCAGATTTGCGATCGAATATCGAGTGCTTGGCTTGGAAATAGCCATTTTGTTTAAAAGATGAAAAAGATTGTTTTTTTTTTATTATTATAACATTTTTATGTAGCTATTTTTTAGTTAAAATAAAATAAAAAGATTGAAAAATGTTTTTTTTCGATTAAAAAATTCGGTCCTCAAAGGGTTAAATGACGTCTTTTTCAAGTTCAAAAAAAAGTTACAGAATCCTTTTTCAATGCTTTCCGTTCTAAAGTTTCTGTAGTCTCTATCAAACATTTTCAATGATATTCATTTGTATATTTTTGCACTAAACACTTTACTCTTTCTAATAAAAAAATAAAAATAAAATCTCTACGAGATTCCATTACAGTGCTACATCAAAAACAAGATTAATGCAGAACTTTTGTCCCACTCGTTAGAAAGCCTTATCAAGGTATACAGGTTGAACCAAAAGTAAGGAAATACAATATTTTTTTTTGAATTTCGTCTCTATACATATATAATAAAATCTCTTATTTATAGCACACATATTAGGTGGTGGTAGTCAGAAACGTAGCATATCATTCGTCTCTGAGCTCAAGAGTTCGTTTCGAAGACATATCGGTTTATCTCATGTACTTCTATGTGACTGGAATAAGAATTATTGCTTTCTTGTAGAATTTGATAACCACTTTTCGTCTGACTCTACCAATTTTAAGCCTAAAACATATTTGTATTATTTTTTGCATTGTTTTATCTTAAAGAGATTCAGAAAAGAATATAACTATTCTATTTATTATTCAAATTAATTGAATCAAACGAAAAAAAAACGAAAATAAAATTCGACCAAAAATAGTCAATTTTTCTACAGTCACAAAAGAGTATACAAAATATATTGATGTGCTTTTGAAATAAACTATTGAGCCTCGAGACTGATAACATGCTACACATGTAACTATCACAACCTAGTAAATCTGATATAAATAAGAGGTTTTATTATTCATGTATAGAGATGAAATAAAAAAAAACATTGTATTTCCTTACTTTTAACTCATTCTGTATATAAATAAAATGAAATTCATTTGGAAAATTGAAAAATTCTTCCTATGGGAGAAAATATTCATCAAAAAAATTTTGTTAGATGCTATTAAATTTTCAAAAAATTTTCCCGATGCTACTAAATTTTTAGAAATTTTCCCGAACGGCCGTTCGCGCACACGGGTAGATTCTGCACGTCTGAGAATAGAAGAGTTTTTCTCGAGGAAATTGATCCATTCGGTCATCTTTCTAAATTATGACTATTGTACTGAACTTTGGACCTTTCGATCCGCTGTTAAAGAAAAAATCGAATAGAAAAATTTCAACCTGAAACTTTGTCCGTAATCAGATTTTACAAAGAATAAATCATCCTAAACGCTTCAGCACAAACCAACGATTTCTTCTCGAGATATTGAAAAAAGACTCGATTTTCGGATCTTTCTATGAAAAATAATTTTTTTTTTCGTAATCAGCGTGTCAAGAAGGAATCATCCATTTCTTGCTAAAAATTTCAGCACAGTTTACTGGCTGTGAAATATGATTATGGACAAACTTTAAAGTCAACATTGATTCATTCAGTTTATCGGCTAACATGCGGAGAGTAATAGAAAATGCAGTAGAGTTGTCACAAATTTCGAAGCTTTGTATATTGAGATAACATCGTTGACGGTTCTCATAATTTCAGTAAATGATACATATGAGTTAATGATAAACTCGATTGATGATTCACAATTGAACATCTTTCCGAGAAAATGAAAAATTACAAATAAAGTGTTGTCATGCTACAAGTTTTTCTCTCATACCTGCGTTTTTCACTCATTTGCTATGTCATTCAATCTACTCGAAGAAATAAAAAGGCATACATCATATGGTGAATGAGATATATGCTTTTTTTTCCACTAATATGTTGACAAGAACGTCGTCAAATACTCATTTAAAATTATTTCCTTCATCTAATATGCCTCATACAACTACCGGACGACGAATAATTTGTTTCTCATATAGAAGATGTGTTGAGGTGAATAAAAAGAATGAAGTGGAGAGTATTAAAAAAAAATAACATAAAGACGTTTTCCAGTATTTTTGAGACATTTTCAATAGGAGAACAATTAAAAACAAACAAATACTGCTCATATTCATTGAAGAATAATTAAATATTTCGAGAGCTGTTTTATTTCAAAAGAATATGAATAAAAATAATCTATTTATATTTCAGAAATCACTGTAGCAACCAGAAACGGAAACATTTCATTGAAAGAAGCAACAAGAGAAATATCCCAAACTACCTATACATCCACATGAATATTGATTTGCAGTATTTTTCTTGGTTTGTTTTTGAACAACTTTCACAAGACGTGATATTCAATGATAATTAATGTACGTATTTCTACAAATGAATTATATAGCAAAATTTCGAAAGATCTATACTGCAACATTTCCAGGACAAAAAACAATCTTATAAATTTTAGGTTCTCGTCTCAAAAATTATTTTAGAAAAGTTCCACCTTCAATTGTAGGTCCTATAAAATAAAGAGCAGATTATTAAAAAGAAAATATGAATATGGAAGGGGTACTACATTTTACAAAATTCACGAAGATATTGTTTGACTACATATAAGAAAAATCAAGTTGTCTAGAATCAAAAATCTATTTTTCTTTGAAAAACAATCGTTTCTAGGGAACTAAAGTGTCAAAGACTGATCGTGACCATTTAATATAATCGATAAACAGAATATTTTGAAAAATGAAGTCGAAGCTAAGATATTGATTTGTGTTTCTTTAGAAGATCTTGCTGGTATTGTCATTCACTCGAAGTAGATGATTATCGATGGAGAACATGCTTGTTCTAGTTGTTCTGTGATTTGTACATATTGCAAAGACAAATTAGTAACGCAATTGTGTTATTCTAGATTATGTTGTGCAGATGCTCTATGCAGTTTTCAAGAAAAACGATGAATGCACAGATGATAACATTTACTTTGTATTAACATGAATGTTTAAATTAGGTGACGTCAACCTATTTGATTGATTACTTAGAAATTGTTGGACATATTTAGTGCAGATGCATCGTATTTCATGTGAAATAAAGAAAAATATTTCTTCAATTAAAAAAAAATAATATCGTTTGAAATATTCGAGCAAATAATTAAACTTGTCAGAGAAACATAGCAAGACTCATGTTTGTATGTATCACATCTGTATTCGATAGTGTAATTTTTGATAAAACATTAAAGTTCACTACGAAAATCTAACAAAGAAATTAATCCTATTTATATCGTCATCTCTCTAAGTGAGATTTCGTTCACTGTAATGCTACAATAATAAAAACGAAATTTAACGATTGAGAATAGTTTGTTCATATATTTGAATCATTCTAAAAAGCTATTTCGGAGAGAGAGAGGAAAAAAATTGGAGCAATCAAAAAAACAAGTTCAAAACGGCAACAATTGATTTTTTTATAAATGTGGGTATGGATGTGGGTGGGATGTGGGGTGTGGATATCAATCTTGTGATCACTCACATCAATACCCACACCCATACCCACACTCCACACCCTTGATATCATTTTGGGGGAGAGAAATTCAAAATATTAATTCAACTCAGGTCAGGTGATGAAAAATCAATTCATTTCATACTGCACAGAAGACAGACAAGTCTATATGAGAAAAACGGGCATGGGTATGAATATAGAAGTAGTTTAAGCGAAGGTCTATATCATCATCGATCCTATGATGAGTAGTTTCATATAATGTCTAAGCTACTATGACCATTTAAGTCCCAAGACGTTTCTAAAGACAGAGATCCACTTAGACTTTAAACACTATCCTATTTGATCATTCACTCTTGTTCTGTAGAACCGAATGCAGTCAAATACTGTCGCAAATAGAAAAAAGAGATAATAGAAAATGGAGCGCGAGTATGAGCGATGAAAAGCCCATCTCTCATACTCATACTTCATTCTTACCCTCCACATTCACATTCCGCATACAGTCTATAGCTACGCCGCCCACATCCACACCCACACTCTCACGCTCATTTTCTCATTCGTTGTAATCTCTGGTATAAATATGATTCTTGATTAAATTGCATGAATAAGAGATAAGTATGCCGAAAGAAAAAGAAAAAGAAAAATGAAAAAAAGACGAAGAATCAGCTTTAATCAATGTATCCAGTAACAGCGCCAATAATTATGGCTGTAATGGCCAACAAAGCGAAAGTAGAGGCTGTTGCTGTAGCTGTGTTGCAGAAGTCTTTGTCCGAACAGCAACACATCTTCGTCTTGATATTGATCCCTGGAACACTATAGTCGCGACATTCATTCAAGCCAGGGCAGAAGAGATCAGGATGCTCATCTTGCAGTCTATTGCCATCCCTGGCTACACCTTTGGCATTGCCAACTTGAGCTTCGATTTTCTAAATAGATTAATACGAAATATTATGACGAGAAACGCGCTGTTGAACTTCTAAAAGAGCCTACCCAACAATAATTGTTAACTGCTGTCACCTCAACGACTCCGATCCCGTTCCTGTTAAATGGATCGCCGCATTGGTCTCCGGAATTGTCTCGACATTTATAACATCGCAGAGTTGACGTGAGTGGGAGAAATGCTGTTAAGATAGATATTAATATTGTCGCCTTGAAGCTTTTTAGTACTTTCACTTACCGCTAGCAAGAACCATCAACAGTGTGCACTCTTTGAAATTCATTTTTGCACAATTGCTGCCCTGTGTATATGTATATCTTTTACTTGTTTATTTATCTTAAAGAAATAAAGAGTTTCGTTCTGATAGTGTTGTGTTATAATTATTGAATCACTTTCTTGTGTCAGACCGCCAAGTTGGTAAGACTATCTACAGTCAACAAAAGGTTAGTGGTAGTGGTAGTATTCGATAAGGCATCTTTATTGAGATCAACTTATTCTTACTGAGAAGATAGTTCATTCGGCAGCAAACATTTTGGTTTAAGAGTAAAAGACAAAGGCACTGCACTGTTATTCTCACAAAAGCATTTTCTTTTTCAACACTGGGATACTCGGTAATAGTTCGGGCTTACTATATTATCGTGTTTCTACACACATTTCAATCGTTAGCTTCTTGAACGATGTCAAAGCTAAACTAAGTAGGTTTTTTCTATTTGAGAAACAGGTTGTGCATCATTTCGATGGAGTCTAATGTCTTTGTATAATAAGTGATGTCGTCGATATCATCTCTTTTTTAACGGCTAATCACGATTAATTGACAGTTTTTTAGATAATTACAATCAAGGCCACCACTATACTCCTGATATTCATCGATACACTCCATTATTTTGCTTGATTCACGTGCTCTCTCTCTCTCTGTCCTTTTCTTTTGTGAAACTCACACATATTTTCGAAGAAAATAGTAAATGTAAATTTCAAAGCTCAGTTTTCGCGGCTCCTTCATCCTCCCTTTCTCATTCTCGTTACAGACCATAGAAACTCCGCCAAAAAAATAGAAAAAAATTCCGGTCAAAGTGTAGAAATAAAAATAATAGCATTTGCTGACGATTGATTATCATTAGAAAGAACAATCGTCTTTTTAGAAAATTTAAAAATTCTATATTTTGTCATTACTATAATGAAACTGAAGAAGGTAAGTGAATTCCACATTTCAGTTCCAGAGGAGCTGCACTAACAAGTATTTTGTCTTCACACTGAGTTTTTCTCTATGGATATATATATCGCATGACTGGTCACAGTACTGGTTAGTGGTTTGACAATAAACTGTTAGCAACTTCTTTGAGAGGAAGAGAGTGGAGGAAAAACACAAGAAAAAGAATATAAAGTGGTCTGTGATAATATATAAAAGTAGGCAAAAATCACTAATTCCAACCATTTTATCGCAATTAATTATCGATTTTCGCGCACTTTTCATCACGTGGAAAATATGCAGTATTTGAGTGACATCTGAAATGCTTGGTATATGTATGATTAGAGTTGTGTAAAGTTTCTGATAGGATTGGTATGAAGCATCTGTTTCTCTACATATTTGAACGAGACCTTATGTGGCGAGCTTTCTAGCAAACTGGTTCGATCAAAGTTTGGTATGAAATCCTCGGAGTGTAAGTATGGATCTTTATCTTCTTTTGATTATTGCTCAACAGCCAATAGTTAGTTCGTTGTTGCTCTTCAAAGACAAGATGCGGCAAAATAAAGATTTTTCCTCGCAAAGGAATTCAATAATTTCGAACATTTTTAAATGTGCTTTTACAACTTGCTTTCATGATAACTGTCAACTATAATGCGGCGAGGGTACTCTGAAAAAAACTGGTACGATACGAAACTTAAAAAAGGTTTCGAATTTTGCAACGAAATCGAAACCCTTTTTTAGGTTTCGTACGAGCTACGAAATATTTTTTAGGTATCGTACGGCTTTACGAAACCTTTCAAAGGTTTTGCAGAGTTTAACGATACTTCAAAACGGTGTCGATTTCGTTGCAAAATTTGAAACCTTCTAAAATACTTTTTTTTTGAGTGTAGTACATGGATGAGGGTATTCGTAAGAACTTTCAGTCGTTTTTGTTTCCTAAACGGAAATTTTCACGTAATTATTCTATTAAATATGTTTGAAATAATGAAGTATAGATATTCCCTTAGAAGCATACGAGGATAACGGATACTATTTCTAAATTAGTTGAATTTTATTCGAATTGTGTACTTTTTTCTATATTAGTTTGATTGTAACGCCTTGATTCGTACATGATAATGAACGTAGTAAATGATTTATCGAGTAACACTCGTAATAATTTAAAATATCTGATTTATATTAATAATAATGAACATATAAAACTTAGTATAACTTAAAATTTTTCAACAAAATGGTATCTGTCTTCTTGAGTGTACATAGCCACTTCCTAGTTTTAAAACCAATAGTTGATAGGGATAAGAAATATTCAAAAATCCATGAGAAAACTTAAACAGTTAAGAGTAAAATGGTGTATTTCCATGAAAACGCTTAGAAATTTTTTTTCACATACACATTCTTCCACTTTCCATAGTCATTTCTCTTCTTTCCTATGCTTTCTAAATCATAAAAACAACTATTGAAGCAGAAATTTCGAGTTGGTCTTCAATTGGTACATCGCTGCCCCTTTATCTCAACTAATAACTCATATACTATGACTAATGAGCCCTCATTAGAGACTTTGGTTAGACACCACCTTCCAAGAAGATTAAAATCTATACAAAGAACGGATCTTGCTCATTCACTATTCCATAATGATATTTTGTTTCGGGTAGTTTTCATAAAAGAAAAAAAGATCATCTAGGCTACTTTTGTCGTATCAATCATTTAAAGTAATTGATAGAAAAACATGAATCACTTCTCTGAAAATGGATATCATTTATTGAAATGAAGAAATTGTATATAGGAAAGAACATCCAAAATCATTGTCTTTTTTTTCTTTGTTTTCTTTTGCTTCTCCTTTTTTTTCTCTTTTTTGTTCTTTCTTTAGTCTTTTCTGTCCTTGAAACGATTATGAGCGTCTTCCCTCACTTCTTTCTCTCTTCTCATCTTCGTTTACACTGTTTCTTCTGAAATTCTGAAATATTTTTATGACTTACTTTTGGCTTTTTTCATCGTGGCATTTACTCTTCCATACCGACTCAAGTAGATTCAATACTCTATATAATGATATTAGTAGTGATTGCAAAACTTATCGCATTTATGTTATGCTTAATTCTTCAATATCATAATTGCTCATTATTTTATCATGTAAGCACTTGCGAGTGTTACATTTATCAGCATAACAAAAGAATCTTGTCAGTGCCATTCCTTTCAAGAACAAAGTGTGAAACTCACAAAATCTAACTTTTATAAATATATGATATATTGTCACAGTTTTTTAAATAATTTATTTTTAAAGAATATCAAATAGATGAATAAATCAAAATTATAACAATTTTTATAATCGATACACGCGCTTTGAAATTTTATCATTTCGAAACTGTTCATGTGTCTAACTACTCTTATACTAATTGATTTGATTCATTTAAACTCATTAAACTGCAAAAACTTATTTATATTATTAAATATATCTTCAGTCCGTAGCTTCATTTCTCCTAATGATAATATATTTACGATATATGTCATAGAAAGCGACAAATATAATTGAACTCTTCATTTCGTCGATTCAGCTACTGTATCAGCTTGTTATACACGTTCCTTTTATCGCTCATCTAAGTGATTCCGCATACTAGCCTTTCTCTCGACAAATTTTGCCATATACTATTGAGTTTTGCTTAAAATTAGGATGCAATCAGTTCAGACTTTTCTAATTGAATGAAAAATAAAAAACCATAATGTTTAGATTAAGCTGCGAGAATCTGCTAAGTTTCAGAATCATCTAATCAGTGATATTACTTACACGCCATTTCTTGTTGCAATGAAAATCTATGCAATAACCTTTAGCTTCCTCCCACGGTTGCTATGGTGGAGGAAATCAGTTAGTAGGCTCTGTAACGGTGGGCCTATGGAAAGAACCGTCAAAACCTCAATTTAAGCTGACACTCATTGTTTTGTTCGAAAACATGTGAGTTCCACAAAAAAGGTAGTGATTGTAGAATCAAAAGAAGTTCCATTAAATTTCATTTATACACTTCTATTTGCACTGGAGTAAATTTCGGAATTCCGAGAATTAGATTCACTTCGTAACTGAATCCAGACTAATGCAACATACATATTTGGATATTATCAAAATATCAACACGAGTATCTAAAGCACATGCAATAAATTCTCCTGCTCAAGTTGAAACTGTCCGATCCACACAACCACAGTTTTCCAATTTGTAGGTATTTAAGCCACATCAGGCAAAACTTGCGAGCAGGTTGCGGATGTGGATTGAGTTGCAAGGATGTACCCTTTACTCCTGTACTATTCATTCAACTTTGGAATGTTATTTTTTTCATTTCTTGGAATATTCCAGGCACAAGCGGAAAAGCGTATTCCTAATATCCCGGATACGATAGAGATACAGTAGATACGTCAGAAATATGAAGGAAACTCGAGTAATACACTGGATATATCGAGGATATCAAGGATAAAGTTTAATACAATGAAGAAAATATAAAATGTATACAATATATTCTTGAGACTATTGACGAGTTAGTCCTGATTAAGAACTCTTATCAATCGCAAAGAGTTTGGTGTGCTTTTGTAATATATTTCAAGACTAAGTACATCATTTTATGCAGTATGATAAATCTGAACTCAAAATAATAACAATATTGACTATTTAGTGCCTAATGAATCTACTCGTTCAACGTTCTCTCACTTTGTACAAAACAAAGGGTCGCGTCAAATCGTATAGAGCGAAAACACTAAACGTCCGTTTGTCTTCAGTATATTCCACGCCATCACTTCACATGAAGGAGAAAAAAAAACACCCTGAGATTATGTGTACCTATTCGTATCCTACGTATTTCAATGATATTCCCTTTTTCCTCACCATATCTTGGATACAAGGATCTCTTGTATCCAAGATATGGTGAGGATACAGAAGATACAACGAGGATACGGAAGACATAGAGGATACTGGGATAACAGGATCTGTTTTTCTCTCCCTTTTTCAGATGCATCCTAGATGACGAAAAACCGCTAAAATATTTAAGCATTTCTTTCTTATCTCTTACCAAAGACGCAGAATACGAACTTCAAATATA